GATTTGTAGTATTCATCGGAGCACGCATAGATATCTTCGTTGACATATGTGACAATATTTGTGTTTATAACTATGACATTTACTATTAATATTAATAGAAAGCCTATCGAGGTTATCAAAAATTTCGGTATAACTTTTTATTGAAACTTGTGATTGTTTCGTATATAAGTTCAAGAAGTAAAGAATCTTTAGATACATGAAGTACATTGAATATTATTCAAAATAAAGTGCTAATATTTGTTAAAAAAGTAAGAAGTAGAGTGATATGATGCTAACTTTAGTAACTATGACAAATGTATGCAATCAAGCGAAAAAAAATACTCTGTTATTTGCTTTTTTCGTTTCTATAAGTCAGAGTACTTCAGATTGTTTTTTTCTCCTCTTTCACCGTTACTAATTAGGTTTTTATAACTTCGTAACGAGAGAAAAATGCTCATTCACTGGTGCTAGGACAATTCGTCGCAGGACAATTCGTCGCATGGACAATTCGTTGCAAGATAATTCGTTGCAATGACATAAGCAGAAAAAAAAACTTTTAATGAATTTATATTTTTGAATCGTCTAATTCGACGTACATATTCGGTTTGTTTAAGGACTATCCCTTGCTATTTATATATTTAAAACTAAGCTACTCGGCTACAATCGATGATTTATACAATACCGCAAATAGTTTTGATTATGCCATATAACCGAAGGCTTCTTACATCCTATTGACATTATTCATGGGGTAGGTAATGAATCCGATTTTCTGTCTTGCTAAAATTCTTTATAGTGGCACATAGAGCCCTTCATCGGGTCCAAAAAAATGTCCGGACCCAGTCAAAGAAATCTGAGTCATTCTATCACTTTTCATCTTAATATATTACTCAAACGTGCATCTTGTAGGAAAATGTTTTCTCTTTCACCTCATATGTTTAGAGAAGCACTACAATATTTAATAGTCAAAACATTTTAATAAAAATAAGTCCGGGTCCAGATTTTCCGGGTTCGACCGGATCCAAGTGTGAATCCAGACTTTTTTTATCAAAATATTTTCGGTATAATGCATTCTATTGCTTCTCTAAATACATGAGATGAAAGAGAAAAAATTTCTCTATAAGATGCATGCTTGAGAAATCTATTAACACAAAAATTGATAGAGCAACTTATATTTCTTTGACCAGGTCCAAAAACGTTGTTTGGACCCGATGAAGGGCTCTAGTGGCACACCCCGTGATCAAGAATCAAAATTTAATCATTATTAATATTTTCAGTACTTTTTAAAGTCATTGGGTTGCATGCTTCAAACTTAATTGAAAAAGTCGCTTCATTTTTGAAAAACAGATATAAATTATGATTGGATTATGTCATTGCAACGAATTGTCCTGCAACGAATTGTCCGGTCACCTGCGATATTTTTTCAATACTATCGATAATATGAAATTTTTATTAATGCTTTTAAGCTCATTTAGTAAGTATCATTATATCAAGATGGAACATAAAAAACATATTATTTCAATTGCAATTATATTTTGTCGACATAATTATACAAATAAACAAATTTGGAAAGAAACATTTTATAGGTAATATCTGTATTTATCATAAATCATTGGAAGATTCTATTATATTTGAAAATCAATCATTACAATGAGTTCTATTATTGACAGAAAATAACAGTAGCCAAAAGATTATGATCTTGGTCAAGATAAACATTTAAAAGAGATCAATAAGTATGTCGATGTGGGTATGTAGACATGACTTTGGTTTGAAGCTCTGCAGAATAAAACTTTTCGCCTTTGAAATCAGATTCCAGCTCTGAAAATTGTTTCTGACTAACATATTTACTACTTTTAGTGCTTGATGCTTTGCTTTCTTGCAACTTATGAATCTATAAAATAGTGTATTTCTATTTATTATTCAACATATGAAGAATAAACTTGTTACTACGTAAGACGAAAAATACTTGACTGTTTCACTAATATAACTCTAACGACTATTTTTTTATCAAGACTACGACTCCAATGGAGTTGAGTTTTAGAGTTTGATGCAGGATTTTAGTTTGGGTGCAGTAATGAATCACATTCAGTGATTACAGAATAAATAAAAGAACTTACAAGTTATGGACAGATTAAACCGGTGATCGAGTCCTTCTCAACTGATGCGGCCTCAGTTGATACTTTAGGAGTATCCAATCCCGACTTTCCTGTTTTGCTGCTTTTTAGTCTTGAACTCACAGATATTAAAAGAGTGTTGGTCCAATTTTACATTTGTAGGATGGATGTGAGAAATTTAATTATTTGGAATGAGTAGATACATATTTTGTGAGTGTATGTCTGTACTTTTTTCCAGGACGTAGTACTATGAATCGAGCAAATGTTGTATTTATGGGATTTTTCCTCATCGGCACTTACATCAATGAGCAGGACTTTTATTTACTCACATTAATGTGGATGGTATGTACTTCTCCTTATTCTTATTGCACGAGTATGAAGAATTTTCGGTACAACCTTACAAGAACGACACTCTCGATACTAATACATATAAATGACAGGGCACCGCAAAGAGTGTGGGTGCCGCAGTGTTGTTCTTGTGCAGTTGTACCCTATGCTGTTTCTTCTATTTCTGCCATAAACATAATATTGGTAAAGTGATGTAAAATGAAAGATGACGTTAGATTATGTACCATTGAAAAAAAATAGTGTTCGAGGATTGGTGAAATTGTTCCTCCAATAATGAAGATAACATGTAATATGTTGCATCGATGTATGAATTGATGATCAATTGATAGATTATTTAGTTTACTATTCTGTTCTTGATTATCGTTCGGATGTTTGTGTGCTCGAATTATGCGATTCGTTTATCTCCGCTAGTTTCTAAATATTTTACCAGATGTTCTCTATCAAGTTTAGTAACAAAACCATGGCTATCATCACTTGGTAGTAGTTTTAATTATACAATTCAAACTAATTTTCCTAATTCTTCGAATATAAAAACCTCGAAATTCCCTACAGGTATATCGTTTTACACTTTCCTAATACCTCTCAATCACTATGTTTTGTTTTAGTTTTTTCAAATTTACATGCATGTTCATTTCATACATCGAGCAAACGCGATAAAAAGGATTATTATGAAGTTTTAGGTATACCTAAAACCGCTACAGCAAAAGAAATAAAAAAAGCTTATTACAAAGTTTGTAATCTTTCTATTAATTAATGGCAAAGTTATTAATTGACTCTTATTTAGCTAGCGAAACAATATCATCCAGACACGACAGACAAGAAAGATGCTGCAACAATAAAAAGATTTCAAGAAGTTTCAGAAGCTTATGAAGTCTTAAGTGATGAAACGAAACGAAAGACTTATGATGCATATGGTATGGGCGGTGATCCATTTAGTTCTGGTCAAGAATCCTATCCTGGTAGTAGTTCAGGTGCTCGTCCAACTGATAGAAGGCAAGGTGATTTTCGTGGTTATGAATATTATCAAGCTCAAGTTGATCCCGAAGAATTATTTCGAAAAATCTTTGGTGATGCATTTAGTCGAGCTGGGTTTGGTAATCATGAATGGATGGATGAACCTGATGAAAATCAATTTGGTAAACAAGGTATAACTCAAGTAAGAATCTTACATTTTCTTTTCTATTAATTCATTATTTTTCATGCGCAAAAAAAAAACTTATTTAATAGTTAGCCCTTGATCTAACATTTCAAGAAGCAGTTCGTGGCTGTAATAAAGATGTTAACGTACGTATTGTTGATGTATGTCCAACATGTAAAGGTACTCGTTGTGCAGTTGGTACACAACCACAGCCGTGTCGAACATGTAATGGTACAGGAATGGAAACAATTGAAACAGGTCCATTCTTTTTACGTGCTACTTGTCGAACATGTCATGGTCGACGTGAAACAATCGCAAAACCATGTTATGAATGTTCAGGAAAAGGAAAAACTATACAAAAAAAATTTACAACAATACCGATTCCAGCAGGTAATTTATTTTGTTTTTAGATTTCAAATGAAATTCTTCTAGAATATGTTTTTTTCTTAAGGTGTGGAAGATGGACAAGTAATGAGAGTTAATCTTGGTGTATCTGAACTATTTGTTACATTTCGTGTTAAACCGAGTGAAAAATTTCGAAGAGATGGTGAAGATATTCATAGTGATATTGACATATCTATTACACAAGCAACACTTGGAGGAACAGTTAAAGTACCAGGAATTTATGAAGATCATGTTTTACAAGTAAGAATATTTTATCGTTTTCCTTAGAAGACATAATTATATATTAGATTCCACCTGGTACACAATCTCATCAGCGTTTTCGTCTTATTGGTAAAGGTATTAAACGTCTTCATCGTTCAGGAACAGGTGATCATTATGTGCATGTAAAAATAAAAATTCCTACGTATGCTATTTTTTGTATTATGATATAAAAGAAATTCTATAGTGTTTTATATATTATAGACGATTAACAACTGAACAAAAAGCATTAATGTTATCATTTGCTGAACTTGAAAAAGATACAAAAGGAACAGTTAGTGGTTCATCAAAAACTCAATCAGGTAAATAAATATGAAATTCAAATATATGCCAGTTTCAGTTTATTTCTAGAAGAAAAATCGAAAGATAAAGAAGGGTTTTTTCAAAAACTCAAACGAGCAATTTTCGATTAATGATAACAAATCAAGTAGTATCTGATTATTATTCTTGTATTTTCCATATTAATTATCTATTATCTTTTTTAGGCAATCGAATAGTTAATGAAAACGATGATCTATTATTAAAATCAATATGACAAGTATTATCTAATTTACCTTTTGGTAGTAAAAAAAAACAAAGTAGTGGATACAACTAATAACCATGCAGCCTTCACTAACTCAAAAACAGAAGAGCAATTTATTAGCTTTATATTACAGTTGTCTTTTTTTGTTAACTTTATAATGTTTTTTGTTTAAATGTTATAATAAAAACAAGTCTGAAAATTGATTTGATCTTTTTTGTCGATTTTTAGATATGATAAAATGAATACAAGGTGAGAAAAATTAGTTTAATAAAAATTTCAAAAAGAAAATAATAATTGATTTCTTTAGTTCAGTAGTACCACCAAGTTTGCATCCACTCATTGCTGGTGCAGCAAGTGCATTTGTAACAACAACATTATATCAACCATTAGATTTTCTTAAAACTCAAATACAAGAACCGAAAGATGGGTAAAGAAATGTATTTTCAATTTTGTATTTATAGAAGTTTGATTTGTTTTCTTTTTTGTATTCAGAATATCGAAACGTTCGATACGATCAATAACGAAATATACTATGCATCAATATTCAACATTTCGTTTATGGCGTGGATTAACACCGGTTGGATATTGTAGGATGAAAGCTATGATTGAATATCTCACTTTTTTTTTCTTCGTCATAGTCTTTATTTCGTGCTGTACCTGGTAGTGCTCTTTATTTTCATTTGCTCAATTCACTTAAAGAAAAAATACCGTAAGACAAAAGAATTTTTTTATTATTAATAATTATTTTTTATTTTCTGTTTGTTAGAAAATCTCAACAAACAGCTTTTGTTAATGGAGTCTGTGGCGCTTTAGCTCGTTGTGCAGCTGATTTAGTAGTTTTTCCATTTACATTAATCAAAGCTAGACTTGAAGTAGAAATAGACTTTATTTCAAGAAAAAAAGAAACAAAACATTATTTTTTTTAGAGTTCTCGATATACAACAATGAACATGATTGCTATTATTAAACATGTATATTCAATGCATGGTTTACAAGGTTAGTTTCTTTTGAATTTTATCATATATCAAAGATATAGAGAATGTGAGAGAGAGAGAGAGAGACAAATATCAGTTTGACGATACTATATCTTCCTGGACAATTTTCCGTCGCTTTCAAAAAGAATTCATAGAACCATAAGAAAAGCTTACATAAATTTGACAGAACGTTAGCAACTGTGATAAGTTAGCCGATCTGCTTCTACTTGTACTGTTTTTTTTAAATATGTAACAGATAGAGTTTATCGGGTCCGGATCTCAAAATTTCGGACTCGACGGGCTCTAATCGTCTGAGAAATATTTAGGGTACGCTAGTCACTGAATACGAAAAACTGGAAAACAGGTCCGACTCGGCAAATGTTTAACCCAGCGGAGTCTAGTAACAGCTCAATTTCATATATTCATATTCAAATATTTGTCTTAATGAATCGATTTTCTTCTTGTAGGTTTTTATACTGGTCTTCTACCTACTTTAGCACGTGATCTTCCATTTTCTGGTATCTATTATATGTCTTATCGTAAGTTGAAAGACAGATCTTCACATGACATGAGTAAGCTATTTCTGTTTCTAATTTTCTAATTCATTTTTATTGAATTTAAAACAGACATTCCATCTCATAAAAATTGGATAACATCTCAAGCTTCAATAAGTATCGCAGCTGGTTTAATTGCTTCGTTTATAACTCAACCGGCTGATGTTATTAAAACATATCGACAAGTAGCTCCAAATGATTATCAAAATGTTCGCATAACAATTAAATCTATTATTAAAGTATATATAATTTTCCTATTTATTATGTTTCTTTTTTACAAATAATTTTTTATTTAAATAGACGCATGGTTTAATCGGGTTTGGAAGTGGTTTTATTCTACGAGCATTTCGTCGTACACTTGTAGCTGCAACAGCTTGGACCTTATACGAATCATTTTTAAGATAATGATTATATTCTTTTTTTTTTTCTTCTTTGTTTTAATTAAACAATGCCAAGCCATTCATTAAATATATCTTTTTGTAAACTTGTCATTGATAAATTTTGTTTCAGGCGAAATACAGTTAACCATATTTGTTTTGATGTTAATCGATCACGATAGATTTTACTTATAATTAATTCAAGTAATTTTATTGATGATTCACATATTATTGTATAACGTATTTCACCATTTGTTAAACCACGTTTTCGTTTCATATCAACATATGTTGTAAATGCTTGAATATTTATTTTAGAGATTTCTTCTTCATTATCAAGTGTTTTATATATCCACGAGAGATATTGTTTTGGCGGGCAAAGTTCAAGTGATTCAAATAAATAAGATTTCGTATTTGTAGAAAGAAATATGTAATCTCCAGCATAGAGATGATCAAGAATTATATTAAATAATAAGGAAGAATCAGATATTAAGTCAATATATTTAAAAAAGAAACGTTCTATTATTTGACGTTGTTCATTTTCAGTATATTTGTTAATAGTGCATGCATCGAATAAAAGTGTTTCACCTCGATAATCAATGCAAATACAAGCATTATTGTCATTGTTCTTTTTGTGTATATCAATTAATTCCTTTAAATAAAACTCCATGAATAAGAATGAAAGAAAAACAACAATATGTATGTACGGCTTTTTTTCTTTTTTCGTTCCTTTTTCTTTTTCTTTTGAATTAGTAAAAATAAAAGAGTTTTGCCCTGTGCACGTTGCCATAGAGAGAAGAAAAAAAAACGTTGAATAAAATACAGGACTTATTATAATTGATTAGAAATTAACGTTATAAACTAAATAATGGAGAAGTTTACGAGAATTTAAATTTATCTCATTTTACGTTTACACTGTTCAATCTACTATGACTTTCTTTTTTTTCAACCTTTATAGTCCTTTTTTGTATGCGTCTGATTGGATAAGCGTATGTTCTTCATTCACTCCTAAAAGGACTAACGCAACCAAATTATACTTACAGCTTTAATAGGTGTGTAAACATAAGGGTAAAATGGGATAAATTTGATTTTTCGTTGACTTCTGAAAATGGTAAGTTATTGATTGAATAAGAATGACTCGAGAATATTTTGAGTGTTAACCGATTCTATATCTTTATGAAATAACTTTATTTTAATTGTTGGACATCGTTTGATATACGAAGTTTCCTTATGGAACTAAGAGAAGCTTTAAATGATTCAGGCTAATGATTTTTGGGGACTTCTATATCAAAAAAACAAGATGCCACTCTTTTCATGTTTTCATAAAAATATATTGTCTGTTCAATTCAAACACCATCATATGATAGTAATTGAAATGTATAATACTCGATACTAAACAGTGTCCCAAAATTTTCGACTCTTATCTGTAAATTGATGTTATCTATAACGAATCTATTTATAAGTAGTTAATTGAAATATACAGTTTTGTAGAGAATGCAAAGAGCTATCATCTGAGAGAAAAAATAGTTCAAATTATGTCATAGTTATGATTACTTTATTTATGATGACGAAGTATTTTACATTTAACATTTTTTTGCAAAAACAAAATATGCTTGTAACGTCTGAAGCGAAATATCAGTTTCTAGGTATTTTTATATGATTGTATAGAGTTCGACGAGCTCTACAAGAATATGGATATCAAAAAAATTCTGATCCTCTTTCCAATACAAAACTTGAAGAAAACTGAAAAGATTAATAAAAATCTCACATACCTTGGATTACAGAGAGTATGCAGAAATTTCAATAACTTTAGTTGATCGACTGTTCGTCTGTCCATAAAACTTGGAATGATTATTTTTAGCTTCACTATGTAACACTGCATCTTAAAACATAAATTAACAGTCGGTCAGCTAAAGTTATTGAAAGTTAAACATACTCTCTAATGCAAGATATTTGAGATTTTTATTAATCTTTCCAGTTTTCTTCAAGTTTTGTATTGGAAAGAGGATCATAATTTTTTTTGATATTCATATTCTTGTAGAGCTCATTGAACTCTATACAATCACATAAAATTCCTAGAAATAGATATTTCGCTTCAGACGTTACAAGCATATTTTGTTTTTGCAAAAATGTCAAATGTAAAATGCTTCGTCATCATGAATAAAATAATCATAACTTTTCATAGCTATGACACAATTTGAACGATTTTTATTTAGATGATAGTTCTTCTCGTTCTCTAAAAAACTGTATATTTCAATCAACTACTTATAAATAGATTTCATATAGATAACATCAATTTACAGAGAGGGGTCGAAACTTTTGGCACATCCTCTAGCATAATAATGCATAGATTTTAATTCTTTTCAACTTTTCTTAGTCTCATAGCAATCTATGCATGAGTAGAACATGAAATTCAATGGTATCAATTATTGATGATATTTTCTTCACTGTTTTATTAACCAACTTTTTCACATCTTTGTTACTACTTGATTCTCTTTCGATGTAACTACTTCACGAACGATGTCATTTTCAGTCTGTATTATCACACATACATTCTCATTATCTGTAATATCGTATTGGGTTTCAATTAATTGGCAATGGCATGTATAGTAATGTCGTATAGTTTCTTAATCTTATATTCTACTGCTTATTTTCTGCGGTGACATGACATCTACCTCACAGTTGATCTTATCATACTACAAATTTCTATCTACTTCGCGTTATTGATATTTGCCACTGCTTCTTCCTACAATCGCAGATCGTGACCTCACAAGAACACCTTCGTCCTTAATATGTGATCGTATTGCTTCTTGATTCTATTTCTGATTTAACATAGTATTTTATTTTGCTGAATTCCATATGTATAGCATTATAAATTTCTCTCCTTGCATATCTCGTACAAATTGTTTTTTTTTGCGCTTTTCTCTGTGCATCTACACATTGGCAGCAATCAGTTTTAGTATGTGGCAGATTCCAACTAAGTTTCTTTGCAACTCATCTAATGTAATTATCGTTTAGATTATTATTCGTTTCTTTTCATCTTTCATCATCTCTTATGATCCATATTTTCTTCGCTGTTTATCTTGTTTTTTCTTTTTGCAATGGAGCGTGTAAGATCTCGTATCAGGATGAAAGTCTTCTTCCATAAACATGCTTCGTCTATATCTATGTCAATGATGATTATTTTTTCTCTTTTAACATTTGTATCATTATGTCGACTTGCTTTCTTTAATAAGCATATATAAAAAGAAACAAGAAATGATTTCCATAAATAATTAGTATACTGATCGGTTCTTGCTTGTTTAACGACTATATGGTAAAAAAAGGAAAGATGTCTGACGGCTTATTCAAATAGAATTTTTACAGTTAACGAAAAAAAAAATACTATTGATTCAAAAGAAGTTGAACTTTCCTTGTCTATTACAGATCATATATTGAAACTTTTCATGATCCAAAAAATATGAGAAGCAACTATGATTAGTAAAAAAACATTGATATATGTCAACCTTTAAAGATGAATTCAATTATTGAAGAGTTGAAACTTGAAAAGTGGAATTTTCAGTATTCAACTATTCAAATTTTCAAGTATTGAGCTCAACTATTCACGTTTTTGTGGAAACACATCCAAAAATATCTCGCCTGTCGAGAGTGCCACGAAAGCACACACACACAAATTGTCACTTTTGGAATTTCAGAAAAGTTGAATACTTGAAAAATACTTCAATAATTGAATTCAGTTTTCAAGCTTGACATATATAAGAAGAAAATGAGAAAACTCTGATTATTGGAGTTCAATAGAAGGGCTAAAATCCAACTGAGAAAAATTCGTAGATGAAAGTAATCTGATTTTTTATCTGTCATTAGAACTCCAGTCCCTTCTCTCGTGATAAATTAATTGTATGAATAATTTTGAGCTAAATAAAGACTTTACGATTTTAGTATTTTTATTCTTGTATCATTAAGACATTCTCTGTCATTTATCACATCGGTTACAAACAGTTTAATAATCTATGAATGAACTATTTATGGAATTTTATAACGATACAAAAACTGATCTACTATTCAATAACAAGAAATTCAAAAATAGTATATATTTTTATAAATCATGTTCAAATAGAAGAATAAATTATTATTTGCAGCATATAATTACTATTAATAGAAGTCTACTTTCGATACTTTCATACTCCAACTACATTGTCATGATGTTTTAACGTAATCTATACATAGTTCATACTGATTATGTATGCATTAAATGCAAGAAGTGTCTTGAAACTTTTCTAACTATTATCCAACAGAAATTTACAAAATGATAACATCAGAAAGTCTTTTAATTGTTATTAATTGCAACTTGGATAAATTCCAATGAAATAAAAATACTTAAATTTTGAGTTGAGTGATCCGGCAAAAATATTAATCTGCTCCGATGAACTAGTAAATGACTTCTAATAATATTTCTATATCTGTCACTTTTCTTTCAGTTGTGATTAGTTTTAATTCAAATCCATAAAAGACTTCCTTTCTCTCTTAATATCGAGTTGAAGATAGATTTTGAGAAAATTTTCTTTTATATCTTTCTATTGATGAATAATTTATAACAGCAATAGTTTTGCATTTTTCGTTACTATAAATAATTTCAACATTGAATCAAGTGAATCCTTTCTAGATAATCTATACAAAATAACCAGTTTTCTTTGAAAAACCTAGTTGATTGATATTATACACTTCTTTTCTCATCACACTACGATTTAATCGCTTGATTTCCTAAAAGAAAAACAAACTCAAGTAATAAAAATATAATAGTAAAAGCAATAAAATATCACCTAACTACGTAAATTTGTCATGACACTAAACTACTCATAATAGAGAGACCTACTTTGTCATCGTCATTCGAGTGTTAATACTTATTAGTCCTTAGGAAATAATTGATGTATAACAGTAAGCTTCATTTAAATTATTATCAAGTTGAACGGTTGTTTGTATAGTTAAAAGCTTTTAATATATTATGTTATCATGCGCTCTGTTGAGATTAAATTTTAGCTCGAGGGAAAATATTTACTATGGAACAAAATTAATTATGTTTATCTTTAATTGATTTATCAATATCTATTTGCAACAACAACTACGATCATAAAAGCAAAAGGTAACATACAAGTCATATTTTCCTGATGAACTATTTCAAATAAAGAATAAGTTTTTCACAATATAAATAAAGATATCTATCGTTTACTCTCGAAAACGAGTAGAGTGTCATTCTTATTATTGAATTTGATTACTATCAGTCTTTATCTGTATTAATGTGGTTAATATTTTTAATGAAGCATACAATATCAAAAGGTTTTTTTTACAGATATTATTTTATTAACTGATATTTTGGAATAATTCTTAACGAGCAAAAAGTTTGATTGATCATTGAAACAAAGAATTTTTAATGTAATGTACTCAGTAAAAACACGCTAAAGTTTTATTTAATATTGAAACGTTCATTTGGATAGAAGTAATGTAATATTGAATAAGAAAGTCTGAACAATTCATTTTATCACGTGGTTGCGATTTCTCTCTCTCTCTCGCTCGCTCTGGTTCGATCAGACATTCACCTTTCTAAAATGCCCTATTCATACATGACGAATCATCTTAAATTTTATATATCTCTTATCGTCCATAATGTACGTATATTCCTAAATGATTTAATACCTAGATCGTTCTTTACTTTTTAAGAAAATTAAAACAAAACTGAAAACTTCTAATGTAAATTTTCGACTATTGTCATATAACCATTTCCCTTTGTTACACACGATCGGTCGGATCGTCATTTCTTCTCTTTTTTTTCTTTTACTTATTGTACATAATTCACAAGTTATCCGTCTGTGTGTGTGTATTGTATGAGTGTTAAATATCAGTAAATATGATGAGTGAAATCAAAACTTCTATAAATTCTTGTTCATCATCATCACCTATTCGTGTACATTTTTCGGATGTCACTAATAAAAAACTCCAACTTAATAATATTATTGATGATGATCGTCGATGGAAATTACTTAGTAATAAACGAGAATTTTGTTTTTTTTCATGTTTTTACATTTGCTTATTTTATTTAAGGTGCACCAGTTATAACAATTGATAATGATGAAAATGAAAATGATGCATGGACTGAATGTCGAGAATTATTTGAACCAAATCGATCTCATATGCTTAATCCATCATCAGCTAATAATAATTATTTACTTCGTCATAGTAGTGCTAATACCAGTTTAAATGAATCATCATTTAATGGAAATGCTTGTACAAGTATTGATGGTAATCATGATGAAATATTTTCAATTATTGAACAAGCTGGAATTACTTTTGGTAGAAATTAAAAAGAAAAAACTAAAGTTCATTTTCTAATAAAAAGAAAACTTTCGTATTTTAGAAGCTTTAACTGGATCATCTTCAAATGATTTACTTGCAAGTACAAGTGGTTATCATTCATATGAACCATCACCATTTAATCATCGATTAAAACATTCATCAATACTTGATCCATCGGCAGCTGAATTTCATATGGAAAATGAATCAGCTTGTATATCAAATTCTCAATCAATAAACAATCGACCTAAAGATCAATCATGTCGTCGTTTAACTCGATCATCTAATCAGACATCATTAAAATATTCAACGTCATGTAAATATTTTTATATTAATGAAAAGAATATTTTCATTTGAATATTTTGTTTTATTAGATGAATATAAATTTGGTGGCTATGGTCGGGGTATTAATGAATTTCTTGAACCAAATGGTATCGCTTTTTTATCAGATGGAACAATTTCAGTTGTTGATACTAATTCAAGTCAAGTTAAACTTTTTGATCCTGTTCGACGTGAATGTGTATTAAAATTTGGTCAAGCTGGAACAAGACCTGGTGCATTACTTTATCCGTATCGTATTGCTATTTTACCTGGACATGATTTAGTAAATTTTTTTTTTCTTTCTTTCTAATTAAAATCATTTTGATTCAATATTAATTTAGCTTGTTATGGTACAACGTTCACCTCGACCTATGATACAAATATTTGATCGAAATGGTCAATTTATTCGTCGTTTCGGTAATGATCTTGAAAGTCCAAGAGCTATTTGTATTGATCAACAAGGTCGAATTATTGTTATGGAATCAAAAATAATGAAAGGTAATGAAAATGTTTAGAAATATTATTTGGAAAAAGAAAAGAATATTTGTTTAATTTTAGTACACATTTATGATGCAACATCGGGTCGTATATGGGGTCAATGTGATTTACGCGATCATTTGAGTTTTCCGACAAGTGTCTGTGTCAATGATCGACATGAACTCTATGTTAGCGATAATGAATCACATTTTGTTAGAGTATTTGATTATACTGGTAAACATTTGAAAAATATTGGAGCTGGAATTACATATCCAATTGCATGTCGAATTGTAAGTTTGTTATTGTAAATTTTCTGTGTTGATAGTTTTGCTTTTGTTTGTGTTTGTTTTAGAATCAACCACGTCGTGAACTTATTGTTGTAGACAATCATGAAAATTTTAATATATCAACATATGATTACGATGGAAATAAAAAATATTCACATTATTCAGTAAGTAGTTTTTGCAACAAAAAAACAAACATGAATTCTTTATTATTGATTTATAATTTTCTTTTTTTTTTCTAGCTTATGAAACATTCTCAATGTTTCGATGTTGCTGTTGGATATAATGATGAATTAGCAATGGCATCGAAAGATTATAAAATTTATGTTTATAAATTAGGCGAAGGTTTAGAAATGGCTAGCAGTGATTTAAATCATCATTATTATTAGTACGTTGTTCATTAATTTTTTTTTCTTTCTTTTTTTTGTTCTTATAAATGATCTTTAATTATTATCTTGTTCGTTCTCGTTCACTTGCATACTAATGTGTTGTACAAATGGGTTTCACCCTACCGCCTAAATACGTTTTTTTTTTTCTTTCTTGTTCATTAAAGATTATACTATTGTCTTTCTTCTCCTATGTGGCAGACGAATTGATTTTTTTCTCGTTTCCCTGATCGCATAACTTTATTTGATTTTTTTTCCTTTTTTTTCGCTTATCTTTTATTTGTTGTACTTAAACATTCAGCCAGAAATGTATTTCTATTTTTTTTTCCTTTTTTTTTTTCTTTGTCATACAACACTTCTATTTGACCCATGCACAAAAGAATAGAGATGAATTAAATAAATTGGAATGTTATGATGTGTGGTTTGAAGAAAAAAAATTAAATCAGTTTTTCTGAACCTTGAATTTCCTTCTAACATGCATTTTAATCTTGCACGGAACAAATTAATTGCTTTGTTCGTAAATTTACTTCACATCGTATGTTATTCAGTATAAGTGGAAGCTCAAGATGCATTATGTTAAGCTTTGACTGAACTCAGGAGAGAAATTTTATTAAAAAAAAAAGGAAAAGAACAATGAGAAATACTTTATTCAGGAAAGCGTACTTCACAATTCTTTTTTTTTATCAACTTTTAGAGAAGTAGTTTTTGTAATCAAGCATTTCTTTTTCTTCTAATTTTAAATATAATAAGACATCGAATCCATTAAGATCTCTTTCATAATTAATCTGTTTGTTTTCATCGTTTCTTTACCAAAGAGAATTAAACAAATAGTTAAAACCTTAGAAAAGAATTTACATATTAAAACTTGAAAAAATTGATTGTTTTGTTCGTTAGTAACAAAAACTTTTCGATAAATCTTAACTTCAACATCAAACAATACTTTTTAAACAAATTTCATTGGCAATTATTTTTTTCACGTTATCTATGATATATATGTGACCTAATCTTTTTATTAATATTTTATAACTCCATTTAGAATTGAAGCACGGCATATTCTTTTTTTCCGTAATATATAACATAAATAGAAAGTACTTTTCTTTAAGTGTAAAATTATCGCTTGCTTGAATTGGTCTCTTAGGTAAAAGCGATTAAGAAAAGAAAAATAAAATAAACAATTTCGGTTATGTTTATTTAAATAATTTTATTAACTACATTTGTCGAAGAATCAGTCCTCTGACTTTCTTATCATATGAAATCTTCGTTTATTTTGCTTTTGAAAAAGATGTCTAAAATCAATGTCAACTGATAAAAAGAAAGATGCTTTTATTTGTTCATTATGTAATGCATTCATTTTATTATACGGCAATGATAATTTTTCTCTTTAGTGTATAAGACAAAGAAATATATTTATTGTTATTTTTTATTTTCTCGAGTGATATTTAATCTATGACAATATTGAAATAGCGAATTCAAGATTCTTTCAAATATCTATGTACATAACATGCATACACGTATATCCTTGAAGATTTATGTAAGAAATTTTCGGTAACAAGCAGGCAACAATTTCATATATCCATAAATCAATCATTGATAGCTTATTTTATTTTTGACTGCATTGAAACAAATATAAATGTAATAATAATGAAGATTGAGAATATTGCTCCTGTTTATTGTGTATTCGATAAGGAAAATAAATATAGACGAAGACTTTAAAAACCGTTTATTCATGTACATGTTAAAATCAATCATAGTGAATTTTTAATATATAATAAGTGTATATATTCGTTTAAAAAAACGATCGAACAAGAAAAAAAAATGAAAGATATAATCAAAATCGATATTGAAACAACTTAAACATGCATTTGATATTCATACACCCACAATCAGCGAATACTGATCTCTACCAAAAACGATCATAACTTTCGTTTTCTTTTTTTCTTCTCTTCATTCTCAATCTACAAGTAAATAAAAAAAGAGGAAAAGAGACATAACAAGGTCCTCCCTTTTCGTTTCGTTTGTTAATTTTCAAGAAGAAATGTCTCGACATCAAAAGCCGTCGTCATCATATAGATCTGGTATGTGAGTAGTTTAACATTACATTTTTCTTGTTATCATTACATATACACACCTGAATTACAATGGCGATGACAATCATCATCGTTGATGTTTTGATATTATTGTGACTTTTTTTTTGAAGGTGAATCCCATAAGTACCATTCACGCATTTAGACAGTAGACGAGAAAAAAAAAGAGAGAAAGAGCTGACGCGAGAACAACAAATGCTTATCTCTTCGTAAAGCAACAAAAGAATCGAATCAAAATGAAAAGAATAAAAGTGGGAAGCATTAGTGTGGGAAGAGAAATAAAAAGTGAGAAAAAAAATACGAATGATAAGGTTAGGCTCTTTAATGTCTAGCTAGACTGCTATTTGTGATAAACAATAACAGTAGCTATATATTTGAATGATAAAATAAATCGGATGATGTCTATTGTTTTTTTTCGAATAGATGATAATCAGAAATCCGATTTGTAAATAACGAGGTTCTTACATTCTCTACGTATTTGACCTTGAGTTTTTACTTTGCAATTGCACCCGTAAGCTCTCACATACATACGCGCTCTGGACTACATCTCAGGAGATTATCAACATATATATATATATATATATATATACAAAACTATGTCAGGTACTGTTGCATCTTGATTGATCATCGTAAAAAGTATAAGTGACACGTACTTCATCAACGCGTTAACATAATTTGAAAATATACTTAAGAAATCTAACGAATGCCAAACTGATATAGTCAAAAAAGAAAAATGCATGTGCTAGTTACTCATATAAAAGATTATTTTCTATCGGAAAGAGCACGAAATTTTTGACAGAAGAAGAGAGAGGAAAAAAGAGTAAAGGAAAAAAAAGAAAAAGTCCGTATACATAAGCACAAACATACACAAACCACAGAAATATAAAGAACATTTGCTTCGGATCAACTTTACACACACGACAACATTATCGGAGAGTTATATGTGTTTCCCTTAGTTAGCACTCGTACAAGCTCCTCGCGTAATAAAACCACAATTTACTAAATGTGTGTTGCACATATTTGCATTCCCACCGTCAATTTTTTTTCATTCAATGTCAAATCGAAGAGAAAGAGAGAGAGAGAGAGAGGGTACACGTTTCCTCTCAACAATCTATAAGTAAAGAGAAAAAAAGTGTTGGTTTTTCTTTCATTTACTTCTTATCTTTTAATTTTTTCAATAATTTCAACCGTTTTTTTTTCTTTTATCTGTTTTGATACATATATACTATTTGAAGAATATTAAATAGTCATATGTATACCGATGATATTTAATAGTGAAATATTATTAGTTAAAAAATTATAATAGACAATTAGATATTTTTCTTTTCATTTCTTCTTATCTCTAGATTGGTTTCAACGCCCAAGTTGTCTAATGGGTAGTTTTCTATGGGATGACGAGTGTAATAATGTGTGTTACTCACAACGTCATAATGGTCGACCATTATCAGTGGTTTTAACAGAACCATTTGATCCATTTGAACCTCAAGCGACATCATTTTTTGATGATATTCCCTATATAGAAAGTGATTTTGCATCACTTAATCATCATCATCATCAACATCATCATCAACGAAGTCGTTCATCTGGTCGAAGATATAAACGAGAGTGTTACAGTATGTTAGAATAAAAAAGACTCATTCAATAATATTATTCTTCTTTTCTTCAATTTTATTTAAAAATCAAAAAAGATGTGCACTATCCAAATGTTAATTTTCATTCGTATTGTTTTTCCCCACCACCACCACCACCGCCACCATGTCGACCAATAAGTCGTGCTCGTTCAAGAGAAATACTTGTTGAAAAAATAGGTAAAATAAAATATACACAAAAAAGAAAAACTAAGTGTTAATAAATATGAAAAAGAATCTAAACTTGTTTTCTTTATAAAACTATGTAGAAACAGTAACGATAGAAGAACAACAACGTCGACCACCGGCACCTTATATGGTTTCATTTGTACGTACACCATCACCAACTGTACGGCAACTTAAAATACGCGCACGTCCTTCATCCTGTTTCGATTTACATAAAGAATCAACAGGTAAAAAATTAAATTTTTATGTTCTTTTCCTTTTCAAGTGTCAAATCAATCAATTGAAACATATTTATAAATATTATTAAATATTTTATTTTAGATATTCATCAGCAACAAAAAGAAAATCGATGGTCAAAAGTTGTTGATGAACATCATGAAGAACATTTTCAATATAGTTATAATTATAATAAAACTCCAGATCGTATTGTTCCAAGTAACAAATTATTCTTTGTTTTTTCTAAGCAATTGATATTTATTATTAAATAGTTGAACGTGAACAACCACCTCCACCACCAAGAGTTATTCTTCAGGATGCAACAACATCAACTGAAGATCTTTACATACCACCACCACCACTTCCACCAAAACAAGGTAAAACATTCTAAAAGAAAAAATATTTCATAGAAAATATTTTTATTAGTTCGTCCTGAAACAAGAGAAACTGGTACAACAACAGCTGGTTTACCTAGACGACCATTATGTGTTACCGGTAAAAACAGAACATTTCATAATTCATTAAATAATATGCATATTATTTGTTTAACCTAGAAACTCAAGTAATTGAACGATTTGAAAAAACTGAAAAAGTACGATGTGATTCAGCATCAAGTACAGGTTAGAACTAAATGAAATACATTTTATATTTATTTTCATCTTTTGCCTTCAATTTTAAGACGGTGGATCAGGTAGTAAAAATAGTGCAACAATGAAACGACCGCTTTCACGCTTCTTTGATGGTAGCTATCAGTAATTGTTGCTTCCTTTCCTTTATATATATATACATATCGATAATGACTTCTTATTTAGCATTTGATTGACATTTTTCCTTCCTTTTCACTTTTTTTCTTGCTTTATGAATTTGCTTATACTATGCTTTTGTGCATCCTCTTCATCGTAGATGATGGTTTTGTCGAAAAACAGCATCATCAAGCTAACAAGAAAGCATATCGCAAAGATTTCGTGCAACGAATGCATGCTCGTAATGGTAATGCTTGTTTCTTATATATATACTATATAGATGTATTATCTTTTTTTATTTCTTAATTACCGATTGCATGTTTCGGTATACTGCTTCACTGACCTTTTTTTTAATGTTCATTCTAAATTCATCTTTGATTATTACATAGTTTTCTCTTGGCCTTAATTAGACAAATTCATTTCTTTTGCTCTATCATTTTCATAACCTTAATGAGGTTTTTCTTGACATTTAAAACCTTGATAAAAAGAAAATTTGTGTCATTAATCAAATCTCTTGAGATGCTTATTGTACTCTTTGTAAATATTGCTCTAAGCTTGATATAAATGACTTAATTTTTGTCATAATGTCTATCTAATTTTTTATTAATGTTAGGTCAATTTTAGTAATTTTTCATCAGATTTGCTTGGCTGATGAAGAAAATAATGAAAAAAAGCGTTGACAGATTAACAAACATCAATGTCTAGAAAGAGCATAATAATTTTTCTCATCTGTTTTAAGTGGATTTCCAAAATAAAGAAGCGACTACTCGGAGAAATCTTTTTTGATCCACAAATCTTTATTCTCATGATTATCATCTAATCATATTGAAGATTTGTTAAGACAAGTACTTAGATAATCGTAAAGGTTTTGTGAAAAATACGAAATTTACCATTTTCTGCCTGGAAAATAATGTTAAACATTATTAATATCATATGTAAGCATGCACTTAAACCATTTCAGTCATTTTTGTCTCAATGAAGAAAGATAACCCTTATCTATTGAAGTATGTGCCACAATATTTCTCCGTCGGTAGAAAATTTACGTAGGTGATTGATACTAGAGAATATCTTTCGGCAACATTGTTAGATTAAAGTCACCAAAAACTCAAACCTAACAAGTTTAGGTTGCTTTTCAGTTTTCTTTCAATCGTCTTATTAAACCTTACGGTTCATTGGATCTTTCTCCGTTTGATAATCAAAATCAGATGTCCTTCTATATTTGTGGTGCGACAGTTTATAGCAATAAGATAAGTTCGAAATATTCAAATTCTTTTATTGAGTTTAGTGTACATGTCTAATCATAATGAAGGACAGTCTAAGACGATGATCTTTTCAAAAATTGAATACAGTCATAAAAAAATAAGGTTTAATGTCATACAATTGATAATGAAAAATATTTCATATGCATTGTTTGAAGAATTTGAATTAAACTTTAAAATTTTGTTTTGCTTTTAAATAAAATACTATCTAGGGAAATTATTGATTTTTTAATATTTTTTTTTCATTTTCTTGAGGTACATCAACAAAACCATGCAATTCTTTTAATTATTATACTGCTGCTGATCGTCAACGTGAAAAAAATCGTGTTATTGTTCGACCAACATCAAAACCACGTGAAATTCTTGTTGATACATCTGGAATATTTGGTTGTCCAGGTCAATTTTCTGAGCCAACAACACCACAAATTATTGAAAATGGTTCTACAACAAAAACCCGATCACCTTTTCAACCACCTGATTTTATTTAAACATATAATTTAGATTAAATTCGAACTTAAATTTTCTTTGTTTTTTGTAAATGCCAAAGTCTAATCGTTCTCCATTTCAGTTTTTTTCTTTTTTTTTCTTCTAGCGTTTTGTTCAGATATTTATTCTCTCTTTTTCTTACGGTTATGCTTTGTTTTACTTTGCTTGAGAGAGAAATATTTTTTTTTAAAGTGCATTCTCCAACGAAAATTATTGTAGATAGATTAGCTTCTCAATATATGAATGGGAACGATATGGGGCAGTATGATCCGCTTGATTGTTCTTTCTTTTTTTTATTTGACCACATAAAATAATAAAACTTATATATATATATATATGTATATATCAAATATTTCTATGCGGAAATAGGAGATTTCTTGCTTATGTAGAATCTATTTTTTCTTACTGACATGAATAAAGGATATAAGAAGAAAAAACAAAACTAAACAAATTTAATTCAAGTGGATATGCAAGGATTAGTGTTCACTAATGATTTAAAGAGCCATTGCTTGACGCAAATATGTCTTCTGTTCTAAATAGTGGCTTGATTTAATACCAGTTGCTGTTGATGCTGCTGAATCTCTTCCGGCATAACTAAAGTAAAAATTTTTTTTTTAAAATAATTATATAACAAAAAATGATAGACATTCAAGAAAAATAACAAAAGCACAAATGAATCGTCATGAGCAGATCTTTGTCTCAATCGAAATATCTAATCTTCGAATGAAAACAAAAAATCAATAATAAAAAGAACATGCATATGCCGATTCATTCGTGAATACACATGCTTTAATCGATACGAGAATATACCAAATATCACAATATTTAGTACAATTATAAACTTACCAAGTACTGTGAGGATAGAAAAATTTTAAGAATAAAAAAATAATATAAATTAAAATAAAAAATTACTTGATTTCAGCAGCTCTTTCATCATCCATTGAACGAAGAAGACAAGCAAGACGTGGCTTACAGAATGAATACTAGAAAAAATGTTTTATTTTTATGAAATAATTTATTTTTAAATAAAACAAAATAACTCACTGGTCCCATATTTTTATGTTCTTCTTGTGCAAAACATATTTTTGCATTTTTATATTTTTCAAGTTCTTCACGAATTAAGTCGAATGGAAATGGGCATAATTGTTCAATGCGTACTATAGCTATTTCGGAATCAAGTTTAGTTTTTCGACGTTCATCAGCTAAATCATAATAAGTTTTTCCGGAGCAAAATAATATCTTTTTAACTTCAGCAGGATTTTCTGATGCAACACCTGCTTCAGGGTAAATACGTTTAAAACTTGTACCTAAAACCAAAAAAACAAAAGAAAAGAAACTAATGCATACATATGATGAAATCAATATTCAATTCACCGGTTATCATTTCATCAAATGTTGAACGACATGCAGGTAAACGAAGTAATGATTTTGGTGACATAATTACTAAAGGTTTACGAAATGGTAAAGCTAATTGACGACGAAGAATATGAAAATAATTAGCTGGCGTTGTTATATTTGCTATTATCCAATTTGTATCATCTAATTGATACATTGACAATTCTGTATGTTGAATATGTTTTGTTTCTTTTATTTCTGTTACACGATCTTCGTCTTCATCCGCCAACTAAAATATATTTTGAAACATGTCATAATTTAGAAAAACTAACATAAACAAATTTTTCTAAATGAAAATTCATCCTAATTAAGATCAAATGAAAATTTTAATTCTTCCTTAAGTATTTAATATGTATGAAATTTATGAATAAATTTCAATAAAAACCAATCTTATGAATACTTAATCTAATTTTTTTACATCTATTTTACTATTAGTGCAAATAATAGTCGTTTGCATTCGGTTGATTTAGATATGTGGTAGACATATATAGAACAATAGATGGAATGGAGTACAAAGACTGAACACAAGGAGCCATAAGTTACGGATATTGATTTCAGTTTATTAAGATGTCTTTAGGTAAACCATATTTATGATTGATGAAGGTCCCCGCGGAAAAATTCTTCCGAAAAAAACCGCGGTAATCTGAGGGTTAACCGCGGTTTTGTTCCGCATTTTGAAAAACCGCGAAAGTCAGACCTGCAAAAACTCAGCTCGGACCGCGGTTTTCTCGATTCTCACCGCGATATTTGCAAACCGCGGTTTTCGCCGGTTTCAAAAACCGCATAAAAGGTCTGACTTTCGCGGTTTATGAAACAGCGGTTTTTTCTTGAAAAATTTTTCCATGGGTCTTACATATAAATTCTATGTGTAAAAGCAACGAGAATGTATTGAGGCGAAAGAGAAGAAAAAAAAAATTAATCTAATCAAAGATATTTTTGATAACATCTCGAAACAAGATGAGAACGATTATACATCTAAAGTTTGATATTATTTTGTCATTATTATTTTTCAAAATATAAATTATGATTATGTTATTCGTGATTGATATGCGTCACTTATCGCGTATAAAAGTACTTGCAAATACTCGATTCATGTAGTAAATGAGGTCATTTGTGCTGTCATATATCTAATCAGTTAACAGAAACATAGGATGTATGGCTAATTTAATGATTGTGACTCTCTGTGATCAAAGTACAGTTATGGTTATGGTCATGACCTTCAAAAAAACGTTTTAGCTGGGGTCACGGCCGTGACCGTGGTGACCATGAGTCACGACGGTCATGCTGAGCTACAGTGATAATTACAGCTTTTTTGGCATAATTAAAATTAATTAGTATCTTTTTTACACTGTTAAACCTTTCAGAAAATTTTCCTACTCAAATATTTCCGTTATTATTCAGCTGAATATATTTTGATGAAAATTGAGATCAGATCAACTATTCATGTTGAATTATATCAATGAATATTTTCCTATTAAAAAAACAATTATTATTTAATATCGATTTTACTCTATGATTAAATATTCAAATTTTTAAAACAGATTTGAAAATCCAACTATTAGTAAAATTCACATGTTACACGTTAGTTCGCACTATCGCCGATATACCGCCGTACCTACGGTATATTGGCAGCAGATCGCTGATGGGAGCAAGAAGCTATCGGTATAGCGCAGTAGAATAGCTGTCAGAAGATAGTCGATCGTTTAAATATAAAAAACTATCACCAGTTGATTGACGATATACCGAGGAGCTTTTATCTAGCTTGAATGACATAGATTACCTAGAATCAAAACTGATTGCATAGATCTGTACCAATAAAATACATTCAATTGTTGATTAATCTATTGGTCTATTTTTAATGGTGAATAATCTTTTGATTGATTTACCTGTAAATATCGTTCTAATCGTGCTGATGAATGTTCTGGTCCTTGCCCTTCGTATCCATGAGGTAGAAGAAGGACAATACCACTTTGACGAACCCATTTAGCTTGTCCACTACAAATAAATTGATCAATAATACACTGAGCATTATTGGCAAAATCACCTAAATTAAAATAAATTCATCTAACAAAATGCTTCTCTAAAAAACAGCTTCGCTGTTTACCGAATTGTGCTTCCCAAATAATAAGCGAGTTTGGATTTGTTATTGAGTATCCAAGTTCAAAACCCAATGCAGCAAATTCAGATAATGAACTATTACATATTGTATAATGACCTTGTGTTGGATGAAGATAATTCATAGGTACATGAAAAACTAGATCTTTTTCTTGATCATGTAAAACATGATGACGATGAGAAAATGTTCCACGTTCAACATCTTGTCCACTAAGACGAACATGATTACCATCAAGTAAAACACTACCAATAGCCATTGATTCAGCTAATGCCCAGTCAACCTCACGTCCTTGTAACATTTTTGCACGACTTTCAAAGACACGTTGAAGACCGCGATGAAGAGTAAAGCCTTCAGGTAATTCGTGTGCTTTAACACCAACAGTTTTAAGTGTTTCTTCAGATATTCCAGTATCAGGATATGGAAAAGGACCTTTTGATGTGAAGAAACTTTTCCACGGTGAATCAAGCCAATTTTTGTCTTTAGCATATGCTGTACTTTTAGAATTAGCAAACGCATCATCAAGAATTTTTTGATATTTAGCTTCTTCAGCCTAAAATATATTTTTGTTTTTAATTTAATTCGATTGAAAAAGAAAACTAATTATTTAAATTATATGAATACATACATTATACCATTCTTGTTTAATTGTACCTTCACTTATTAATTTATCAACCCATTTTTTTAAAACAGCAGGTTGTTTATGAATTTTTTTATACCTAAAAATAATGAGAGAAAAAGAAAAATAACCATCTAATATTGTTTTAATATACAAACATAAATGGTTGTGTAAACATAGGTTCATCGGCTTCATTGTGACCATATCGACGGTAGCAAACCTATGAAAGGAAATTTTCTTCTTATTTTAAACCATCATGATTTTAAAAACAACGTACAAGGTCAATAACAACATCTTTTTTAAATGTACATCGCCATTCTGCAGCTACTTTTGCTACATGTAAAACTGAATCAACATCATCAGCATTGACATGAAATATAGGCGCATTGACGACTCGTGCTACATCAGTACAATAAGGACTTGAACGAGCCATACGTGGATCGGTGGTAAAACCAATCTTAAATTTACAAAAAAAATTGTTGTTTTTATTTTGTTTTAAAACTTAGTTGTTGTTTTATTTACTTGATTATTACAAATAATATGAACGGTTCCATGTGTAGTATAAGCTGGTAAATCACTTAAATGAAATGTTTCATAGACAACACCTTGTCCAGCAAATGCTGCGTCTCCATGTAATAATATACTCATAGCTTTATCACCGTTTTTATCACCACGATAAAATTGTTCTGCTCGAGTTTTACCTTGTACAACTGGATCAACAGCTATTGAAAAGAAGAAAAAAAGAGATTGTTATAGTTTATCAAATATTCTTCGTTTCCTTTTTACCTTCTAAATGTGATGGATTAGCAACAAGAGCAAATTTAACCATTGTATTTGAGGCACGATTTAAACGTTCAATACATGTACCCAAATGA